AATTTCTTTCAAAAGAAAAAATTTTTTATTAATAAACAAGGTTAAGATATTGACAAATATTAATTTATAATAAATATTTTTTGATTAATTTATGAATTTATATATAAATATAATCAAACTTTAATAATAAACTTTATAATGAAGTAAATCATATGTGTTAGTGTGGATGTTTTTAAATATGACTTTAGTATAATGATTTTAAATGCATAATGGAGTATATATATAATTTTAATGAAAATTCAATACTGATATATTTCTATAAATTTTTTTTTACTTTTATTAATATTTATTTATTTTTTTTCCAGGGGCCGGAGTGAAAATGGAATCTATTCAGCCTGCCTTAGACCCTAGAAAACAGGAATTATTAGAAGCACGATTTTTAGGTGCACGTGTAAGTAACCATAAATTTTTTTTTTTTTTTTTGCATAAAATATTTTTTTAATTCTTGTAAATTTCAAATGGATTGTGGTTGTTAAATATCTGTGATTGCTTCCAAAAGCTCTTTTATATTAATGCTTTAATTAAGAATTAGAGGAATTAAATCTATTGAATATCCTATGCAAAAAGTTAGATTTAAATTAAATTAAATTATAAAATATATATATATATATTGAATAATCCCTTTATTGAAGATGTGTAAAGCATGAATAGTCATAGACTAATGACAAGTAAAATTTTTATCACAATATGGATAATGTCGTCGTTTACAATTCTTCTTCTTCTTTTTTTTTTTTACCATGTATTATGATATATTTTACTAAAGGATACTATTAATATATAACAATATTAAGAAACTGAATAAATATTACCACGGACAATAAAATTCCTCCCACTCGTATATATATATAATTTTTTTCTTTTAATGTTGGATTGAAAGTTTTTTTGTTATAATTAAAACAACAAATTGGAAATCAATAAAAAAATTTTTTTTTTTGATTTTTTCATTAGTACGATACACAAATGGTTTTATGTTTTATTATTTTATTGGTTTAAAATATTTATTCTTCATTATATAAATATTTTTTTGAATTGTTTTTGTTTGGTTTATTACTTCAAAATTAAATGGTAAAAATCAATTTTTTCAAATTGTGTTAAAAATATTCACTCAGATTTTGTATTTTAACATTTAATAAAATTTTTCAGTTATGAGTAATTCATGATTTAAAGGCCATTTAAATTTCGTTAATTATTATTGTATTCGTTTTTACCACATTAAAATTTACTCTTATTCATTCATATATATATATATTATTTAATATGTTTTGGCAGATTCTTTTTTTTTTTTTTTTTTTTTTTTAAATAATATTGAACTCTGGTTTTTGCAAAAAAAAATTAGAGAAAACCTGCAAGAAAAGGTAGAATAAATAGTGACGTTGACCTTTGTGGGTGTGTTTGTGTGTGTGTGTGTGTGTGTGGTGGGGTGTGTGAGGGGGGTATGTGTGTAAAATTTTAGGTTTTTTTTTTTGCTTTTTTTTCGTATTATTTTTGCAGAGCGTCTCGAAAATTGAATATTTTGTCAGGACTAAAATAGGCCTAGTTTGATAAAAATGATATTCAGGTTAAATTGACATAGGCTCTCCAGGTTATCCCACATCGGTCACAGTTTTTCTTCCGTTCACTCTTGCAACATCAGAAAGAAATTCTCGCATATGCGTTGAGTTTGGCTAAAAATTCAGTAAAGTTTTATCCCTTCTTAACTTATTACTTTATATATATATTAAAATCCATATGTAGGTTAGACCACTTAACAATCATTGAATTTTTTTTGTTTATTGATTTATCAGCGTTTTTTTTTTTTTTTTTTAAATTTCTTTTCATATCTGTAATGATGCAAATGAAAAAAATTCATTCATTATAATCTCTTTATAATAATTAACTTTTTTATGTTTAAGGTATTTGTTTAATTTTTTTTTTATTAAAATGAGCATGACGCGTATTTATATTTATGACGAAAAAAAAAAAAAAATTTTTTTTTCAAATACTTTTAGAAATTATTGAAAATGTAAAAAGTTTTTTCAGTTATATTTTTTTAAAAAACATTTGTTGGAACACACACACACACACACACATGCACACGTAGAATAATGATATAACTATTTTACTTTTTCTTTAAATAATTTTATACTCGATGTGTCCTCAATTTTTCCATTCATACCTTCTATTGCTTAATTTTATTATTATTATTATTATTATTATTATTATTGTTTTTACGTAATTAATTTTCTAAAAAATATTATTAAATTAATTAATTAAATTGTATTTATTTTGGTTGAAAAAACTTTTAAAAAATTTTTTAAGAAAAAGTTTGACACACGAGCTAAAAAAATATATATATTTTACGTAGGAAATTTTATAAATTACAATGGATTTCCTTCTTCACTTAATTCTTATATAAACTTTTTGTTGTTAACAAATTTGATTTTAATTTATTGGCAAATAAATATAATTTTTCATACATTTATTTCTTATTTACTGAAAATAATAAATTAAAATTTGAACGTGTTTAATCCATCATTTTTTATTATATTTTAATAATTTTTAAAAGAAAAATAATAATAATAATAATAATAATTATATGAGCATGATTAGTCTTATTGAATTTCATTTAATTATTACCAATTTTTTTTCTTTTTTTGTCAATTGAAAATTTTACTTGTAATACCTATGTATGTGCGTGGGTGCGTGTGCGAAACATGGTAAAAAAAAAAAAAATGCAAATTAACAATAATGTTGTTTTTTTTTATTTTTTATAAAAAGTAAAAATTGAATTTCATACTAGTCCGGAATTTTTGGATAAACCGAATAATATATAATTTCTGAACATTTTCGTAGGTTTTAAATAGGGCGTGTAAAAAGGGCTCGAAATAATATAAAATATAATTGTAAATAGAATGTTTTATTTGAGCCGACATGTATATACACATTATATTTGTACGGTAAACTTGTCTACAATAATTTCATATCAATTGAAAATTCTTTGGTCCTGCGCAGAGGGTAATTTAGAGTCCAGTTTAAATGTAAAAACGGCATTTAAAAATCATTATTCGACGTAAGATATTTTGATTTGTTAAGAATCTTTTTTTTTTTTTTTTATGTGCTCCTGTAGAGAGAGAGAGAGAGAGAGAGTGAGAGAGAGCAAGGGAAAGAGAGAGAGAGAGAGAGAAAAAAAGAAAAAATTTTGGATTCAAAAACGGAACAAACGAGGCCGCAACATCATTGTATTTTGGCCATTTGTGTCATTTAACCGTATTAAATGCATTTGACAATGAAAACGGTCTATGATTGCAGAGAATTTTATAGATCAAGTTTCTTTTTAAAGGACGGATGTGATTTTTACAAAGTGCACCATCCTCGGTTGCGATCGAGAACTTGTTGTCCGACATATTGAATTTACTTTAATTTTTATTTATCTATTATTACTACTACTGTTATTATTATTTTGTATTATTAATTGTAATCTTTCTTTTTTTTTTTTCTTTGTTAAAATTTGCAATAGTTAAAAATATATATATGTACACATTTGTATATATATATAAATACATATGTAAATGTGTGTATAAATATATATATATTATTTTGATTAGTGATGTTTGTCTCGGTATCAATAAAATTAATTTTTCAATTATTTTTATAAAAGGTCAAATAATGAATTTTTAAAGTGTCGAATGACAAACTGATGTATAGGAAAAATGGTTGAATTTTATCAAGTATTTGGTGGTGGTGGTGCTGGTGATGTCAAATAATAATCGAACTTATATAAGACTCTTAGTAGTAATTGGAAATAATAGATGGACGTAAAAAAAAAAAAAAAAAAAAAAAAATGAAGAAGCCTTTATGGCGATGAAATTTTTTTTTAAAAAAATGAATTATTCAATGATGAAAAATTGGTAAATTAAATTTTTTGTCACAACCGTAGGAGGAGGAGGAGGAGGAGGAGGCTGTTGCTGGTTTTTTTTTTTTTAATTTTTTATAATATCGAGTAAAAGGATTTGAAATGAGGAATTTTTCCTTTTAATATTTGAAATGTTTTTTAAGTAGGTTTTGCTTGAATGTTGCTTATTTTTGTGAAGATCAAAATCTTCTTACAGGTCAGTTTTAGAAAATTGAAAGGTTATTATATTATGGTTTAACCTTTTTTACTTTCCCCCTTTTTTATTAATACTTTTAAGTCATTTCTTACTTTTAAAAAATAATTTTTTATTTATATATTTACGTTTACTTTTAATATTTTCTTCAAATTAATTATATAACAAATTTACGTTATTGTAAAAATAAAATTTTTTTTAAACCTGAATCTGCCATCTACTCTCCCCCTCCCCTTCTCTCTTTCTTTTTTCAAGCTGTAACATCCACTTTTATATTATTTCTTTTCAAAATGGCGTCATTTTAAATTTTTAATATAATTTCAGTCAGCAGTTAAGTAAGAGAACCAATGAGACTTTTTTTTTTTTTTTTTTTGTGATTTTACGATATTAATTTCGAATTATATACATTATATTATTATATACATTGCCTCTACGTATAATAGAATTTTCATATTTAAAAAAATATTTTACATTTCTTAAATTTTAATAAAAAGACTATAAAACATTTTTTTTTTTTTTTAGTACAATATTAATAATAATAATAATAAAATCATTAATTTTTAATTTAGTTTTTTTAATTATGGTCTTTAAATTGTAAAAAAAAATTCACGTTCCATTAATTTTATGTATGTTTATATATATATATATATATATATATATATATATATATATATATATATTTTATTATTCAGATGTCAGCTGGAGCTCAAATTCAACCAATGGCTCCTCAACAAACTGTCCTTATCCCTTCGCAAACTAGTCAGAATCAGGACTCCAATATGAGTACTGGAAGTTCCCATTCTGACAAAGAAATCGAATCAGCCACTCCAGAAAAACTCGCTAGACCCACGGAAAGAAAGCGAAAACGGAAAGTAAGTGTAAGTGAATTGAGTTTTTTAACATTTCTCCTTCATGTTAAATATTTTTTTTTTTTTTTTTTTTCTCAATATTAGCTTTAATGAGGGTTTTCTCTCTCTCTCTCTCTCTCTATTTCTCTCTTTTTCTCTATTGAATTGTCACAAAAAATTCTAGTAAAATTTGAACGTTAAAAAAAAAAAAAAAAAACCAATGAAATTTCAAAATAAATGCCACACGTCTTATTGATTTCAGGCCCCCGATGATACCGGTAATATGCAGGGTAAAAGTAGTAGGGGGGTTATTAATCAAGATAATAAGAAAATAAACGACTATTTTGCCAAACAGCAGGGTACAAGTCCCGTACGGCATGGTGGAGCAAAAAGCCCCTCAGCTCAGCCTCCGTATCCTATGGTAAGAATAAATTCTCCTTAATAATAACCTCCTCTCTCTTTCTCTCACTTTGCTTCCGGGTTAAAAATTACTTTTAAATTGTAACTTAACCCTCTAGCAAAGTTATTTAAATTGTTTTTTTTTTTTTTTTTTATTTTATGTGTATCTAGCATTGAGGAATTTGGATTGTAATATATCGACGAAAGGCATTTATTTTCTCTTTATTTTTATTTTTTTTTTCAAAACTTTTATTTTCTTTAAAATATTATTTTATTTAATTTGAAAGTTTTTATTAATTATTATTATTATTATTATTATTTAAATCAAAAAATGTTATTTTCAGTATCCACCTTCCTCGCCTCAGCCAACGGGAGTTGTGAACCAAAATCCTACGGAGTTAGGGGCTTTAATGCAGCCTCCAAGACCTCCCTTGGGACCGACCAAAGCTCCTCCTCGGCCCACCCAAGCGACGCCGCGAACCCCCACCGAAATATGTTCCCCTCGACCACTAAATGAGTTTGAAAACGCTTCAGAATTAGAATTAAGAAATAAGCTAAACGAGCATATTAGGGTAAGTTAAAAAAAATATACTATTATATAATAATTTAACACAAACATAAATATATATATAAAGTAATAAAAACAAAATGGAGGGGGGGGGTTTCCAATACAAATTCCTTCGAAAACGTTAATTTTTGATTTTTTTTTTTTTTTTTACAGTCAAATGAAGAACTTAGGCATCAGTTGGCTACTTCTCAAAAAACTATTGAACAACACAAAAGCCACATAGATAAGTGTATTGAAGTTGTAAAAAAACTTTTAAAAGAAAAAAGTAACATAGAAAAAAAAGAGGCTAGGCAAAAATGTATGCAAAACCGATTAAGGCTTGGACAATTTGTGACGCAGAGGGTGGGAGCTACCTTTCAAGAAAATTGGACGGACGGTTACGCTTTTCAAGAATTGGCTAGGTATTTTTTATATAAAAATATAATTATTAAAGAAACTATATTTACCGTTGATTGTAAATCAAAAAAATAACTTTTTTTTTTTTTTTACTGTTGTGACAAAAATCAAATGAGAAAATTAGTGTTAATTTAAATACAATAATAATAATATTTAAAATATTTTTTGTTGTTGATAGAATTAAGAATATACATAAATATATTTTTAGGCGGCAAGAAGAAATAACCACTGAGAGAGAAGAAATTGATAGGCAAAAAAAATTATTATTAAAAAAAAGACCTTCTAATGACTCCGGTAGGAAAAGGAATGCAAATCCTCCTGGTTCCATATCCATGCACAACGGTAATTATTAAATTACAATAGATTATTATTTGTATCTTATCAATGGATTTTAGCAATAAGTTTATTGCTTTCTACCACTATCTATTCTAAAGTTCGGACACAAAAAAAAAAAAAAATGCTTGCTATTTTAATATTTTTTTGTATTAGGTACTGATGCTACAACGTTTTTAAAGCCTGACTCCCTTTCAAGTTTTACATGGCAAGAATACTATGAGGCTGACGAAATTTTAAAGCTTAGACAAAGTGCTTTAAAAAAAGAAGATGCCGACTTACAACTTGAAATGGAAAAATTAGAAAGGGAAAGAAATTTGCATATTAGAGAATTAAAAAGGATTCATAACGAGGATCAATCTAGGTTTAATTCGCATCCGGTGAGTGCATATATATATATATAAACAGGGATAAATTAAATTAATATTATTATTTTATTTTTTAATATAAAAAATATTAAAGCTAAGAGAAATGTTTTAATAAAATAACGATAAGCATATTTACCACGATATTAACGATTTTATTAATCAAATATTTTTTTATTTAGGTGCTAAATGAAAGGTATCTACTTTTAATGTTACTTGGTAAAGGCGGATTTAGCGAAGTACATAAAGCCTTTGATCTGAAGGAGCAGCGTTATGTAGCATGTAAAGTTCACCAATTAAATAAAGACTGGAAGGAAGATAAAAAGGCTAATTATATTAAGTAAGTTTTTAAAGCACTATTAATAATATATTTGTATTATTGTTATAATTTAATGTAAAAGTTTTTAAAATAATTAATTTTTTTTTTTTTTTTTTTTTAGGCACGCTTTAAGGGAATATAATATTCATAAAGCGTTAGATCATCCTCGAGTTGTTAAATTATATGATGTCTTCGAAATAGACGCCAATTCTTTTTGTACAGTTCTTGAATATTGCGATGGACACGATTTAGATTTTTATTTAAAACAGCACAAAACCATACCCGAAAGAGAAGCAAGAAGTATTGTTATGCAGGTGGTCTCAGCTTTAAAATATCTTAATGAAATTAAACCTCCTGTTATTCATTATGATCTTAAGCCAGGTAAAATTTAGTTTTCATATTAATAGTTACAATTATTATTATTTATTATATATTTGAATGATTAATATTTATGAAGTAATTTTAGAACGTTTTCATTTATTTTATTTCGATAAGCATAATATTTTAACATAATTTTTGTACCGCCAGTACGAAAATTCTTTTGCTATTTAAAGTCATATATGTGTCTGTGTAATGTGTCCGTTTATATTGAGTGATTCATTGTTTTCTCATTAGGTTTTTAGTTTTAAAATAATTTTTTTTTTTTGTAAAGGAAACATTTTACTGACGGAAGGAAATGTTTGCGGAGAAATTAAAATTACGGATTTCGGTCTTTCTAAAGTAATGGATGAAGAGAATTATAATCCTGATCATGGTATGGATTTAACTAGCCAAGGCGCTGGTACGTATTGGTACCTTCCTCCTGAGTGCTTCGTGGTCGGAAAAAACCCTCCTAAAATATCATCAAAAGTTGATGTTTGGAGCGTGGGCGTTATTTTTTACCAATGTCTATACGGGAAAAAGGTAATATAAATATATATTATTTATAATGTATCGATTTAATTATTATTAAACATGAAAAGTCTTGCGTATTTTCAACATCTATTGAGAGTATCTGACGGATTTCTCACGAGTGAATGTTCAAATCTCTGTGTGTGGACTAAACGCTCTTTTACATATTGCTATCTTTTGTACAATTCTCGTTTTATATTGATCTTTAAATGTTGTGATATAGTTTCAATATTGAAATGATGACCAAGTTGTAATTATAGTAAATATTAAATGTTATAAATTGATAAAAGTTAATGAGGAAAAAAAAATCAAAAAATTTCAGCCGTTTGGACATAACCAGTCACAAGCGACGATATTAGAAGAAAATACAATTTTAAAAGCAACAGAAGTTCAATTCGCTAATAAACCGACCGTTTCAAACGAAGCTAAAAGCTTCATTAGAAGTTGTTTGGTGTACAGAAAAGAAGAAAGGATAGACGTATTTGCATTGGCCAGGCACGAATATCTCCAACCTCCTGTTCCTAAACACGGGCGAAATCAAAATTCTCAAGCCCAGCAACAGCAACAACAACAACAGGTTCAAGCTCAACAACAAATTCAACATTCTTCATTTTCAGCAGGTGATAATAATACTTTGACACACACATTCACACACACGTCGGTAGTTTGAGTTATATGTATTAAGTTAAGTAGTTCAATTGTAAATGTTTTATATTATAGGTATGTTTAGCGGAATGAATGCATCCAGTTCTTCATAGGAGTTTCCTTAATATACAACGCAGTAATCGAGAATGATCTTCCAGTAGCTATTTAATGCACTCTCTATATTTCAACTAATGTATTGTAAGTCGTTTTATCATTCGCCATCATAAAATACATAAATAATTAAACGATTATTTAAAATACGATTTAAATAATAAAAAATTAAAATTATATTATTATTAAATTATTGAAAACCTATTGAAATTAATAATTTCAGATATCCTTGAAGAAGTGATTGCACGAGGTACAGCATCAGCATCACATAATATAATTATATTTAATTAGCCTACAATAGCGATAAAAAAAAGGGGCAGCAAAGTGTTAGAACGAACGATTCGAGTTTTTACCATGTTCTACACTTGGTGGAGCCAAAAATGAAGAAGCCGACTTGCTTTTTTTTTGTCTTCATATATTACCATCAAAAGAAAAATGAAAATTAAAAAAATTCGGAGAACATAATGCTTCTTATTCTTCTCATATTATTTATTTATTTTGCTCAGGACCTGCTTTTAAATTAGCATGTAGAGATGGAATCGTCAAAAAAAAAAAAAAAAAAATGGAGTTGTGTTCCCGAAAAATGGATCGAGGTGCGAATTTTGCGGAGAGTTTCTCCCCCTCCCCCGCTCCCTTTTTTAAAACATGTGAAGCGAAAAACGGGTGTGCGAGCTTCATTCGCGTTTTAAAAAACAAAAAAAAAAAAAAAAAGAAAAAAAAAATTGTTTCCTTTCATGACTTTGTATATCTTATAAAAAAAAAAAAATTCGTATATTGTTTGTATTTAAATTATTGTAACATATATATAATATATATATATAAATGTATATATATGTATGTATGTATATACATATACATATATTTATATATATATACATACATATACATATATATATATATATATGCATTAGTATATTTATATCTGTGGGACGTTAATTCGCCGCAGAAAATAGAAGGTTTGACCAAAATCTAGTCTCGTTAATGAATTCATTATTTGTGATGCTGATACATTATTTTTTTGGTGAAAGTGGATGTAACTCGTGGTGAACAATCATTGTTTTTTTTTTTTTCTCTTTTTTTTTTTTTGTTTTGTTTATTATTATTATTATTATTATTATTATTATTATTAAATTTTTTTTTTTTTTTTTGTTTTTTGACAAAGAAAAAAATAAATGCAACAAAGTTAAAATATATATATATATATATATATATATATATATATGAATTTAGGAATATCACTTTACTGGAACACACACACACAAGGCGAAAAACAAATTAATTAAAAAACCAATCATACAATTCAAATATACAATTCTCGTATACTTTTATTATATTTACATATTTTAATTGAAGAAATCGAAAAAAAAAAAAAATTGTAGTTAATTTCTGATTGTTATTATTATTATTATTATTACTTTTTTTTTTTTCTTACTATAATTTTAAATGTAAATTCTTTAGTAAAATCCTTCTTGTAATAATTATTATACTTCATTGAAAAAAAAAAAGTCAGTTTTTGTTATCGAATTATGATGGTATAATTTTAATTGAAAGTTTTCGCCGAAAATATTTCGTGCCTGGAATAATGGAAAAAATAATAATAATGATAAAAAAAAAAAAAAAGAAAGAAAAAGAAAATTTGACACGTTTGATTTTTCAGGTATTCGGGCTTTATTGATGTTTCTTACCCGTAAAGTGATGTATTATTTATTAAATTTAACGACTCGCGTTTTTCTCAGCAAGTTTCTTTTATTATTATTTTATTATTATTATTATTATTATTATTATTATTATTTAAAATTGCAGAATATTGTAAAGTCTGACCGTTGAGAAATTTAGTTCTCAATGTTTTATTTTCCAAAAAATAAAAATAAAAATTCTTAAAATAATTTAATAATTGATTATTAAATTAATCGTTAATAATGTATATTAACCTCCTTTTATTAATAAACATTTTTTTTTTTTTTAAAATTATCCATAAATAAAGGTAAATTCATTATATATATATATTCAGCGTTATTATAACCCTCATCAAAATATTATTATTTTTACTGTTCTCTTAAGACTATTTTTATTTTTTTTAAAAATTGTGTTCATATGTCAGGATGTCATTATAAAAGCAAATCCATAATATCATACAATGTAAATAATAAATATCATATAAATATAAAAAAATTAAATTTCGAGATTCGTCACATCCATACCACTGTCATCGAATTTAATATTTAATGTTCATTCTCAATTAATTATTATTATTATTTTGTTATAGACATTTACTGTCTGCAACATTTTTTTTACACACACACAAGTGTATATATAACCATGTATAAAGTAAATGAATTTCGACCGACTTGATTCGTTTCGAAAAAAATTTTTTTTTTTTTTATTGACGCCAAAAAAAAAAAATTAATGTTATTTTCAATAGTGTAAAAATTAAATAAATTAATTATAAATAAATTATTTAGAAATAAGACGATTAAGTTTTTTTTTTTTATTAACGTTTTTCATCATTTTGAAATCATTAATAATAATAAGTCAAATTTACGACAGCGGGTTCATGCACGGTCCTGTACGATTAACAAATTCGCAAGTACAGAACTGTGCCAGCCAACAAACCGGATGTCATCATCCTGCGATCACATAATGCGGAAAAAAGAAGTAAACCAATTGAAGTATCCGTACCGTCCGGGTGAGGAAAATATTGTTGCTTAAAAAGCGGACAAATGATTTGAAAATAAAAATAGCCAGGATGTGGGGAATAAAAACAGAAATTATTCCGTTGGAGCATTGGGAGCCATAGCACACATTCTATAGAAGGAAGAAAAAAGAAACTTTACAGGAATTCCGAAAATATTATAGATAGCATCATTGATATTCGAGTATTTATACCAAAAGGAATCGGGTAGAGACCTGAATTGTTAATCCTTAAAAAAAATTTCGACAAATACCCAAAATCTTTTCGTGTTCAAAAGTGAAAAATAATAATAATAATAAGACCATAGCCGTGGCGTGCTTGATGATACACCGGTTTTCGTTCCATCATCGAAGTTAAGCACCATCGAGCGCGATTTGGCTTCAAGAGAAAAGAACAAAACAATGGCTGACGGAACCAAAAATAATTAATTATTGTTCTTCTGTCAACCTTTTTTTTTTTTGATGATCCAGGAGAAATGCAAGTTACGCACAACCCCTCCTGCTACAGAGGGTGTGTGGGGATCGGTTTGGAATCGGAAGAAAGCATAAACGGGGACCCCTACCCACTAAAACTCCTGGGCATGTCGCTATAGCGTGACCTGTATGGAAAGGGGGGGGAGACGCTCGTGGGAGTATAACCTACATTTCAGTCTCCCCTCTCCGGTAGGTCAGAACGTTAGCCGTTCCACATGATCGCTTTTGGGGAGATCCGCTCTAATCTCCGTTCCGTCTCCACCTCGAAGATGAGAACGCATCTCCCGGGACGTTCGGCACCTCCTTTCGGAAGTGTCCTCCGGTCCCTCGCCGTGGGGAATTGAACGGGAAACTCGCCCGTTTCCTGAGGATGCGATCGGGGCTGGGGATTGAGACTTACCGCGTCACCTGAAAAGGGTAAAAAGATTAAAGTAAAGAATTGGTAAATCGCATCCTCCCTATCGGTGTGGGGAATTGATAAGGGGGAACAGAAGAGGAATCGACCGGGGTCGCCGACCCTGGAGAAGAAAGAAAATAAGTGTGTGTGTGTGTTCGCCCGACGACGACGGGTTCACGCCCGCCGCCGCCGCGCGTCCCCACCCTCACCTTTGCGAAGACTTTCTCAACCTGCCACGTTGCTCCCGCCTCCGCCGCAGGAGACGCGAGCTTCCGGAACCGAACGACCCGGACGAGTCGCTACTCCCGACCGGCC